AGTGTTTCACTAGAGATCTTTAGTGTCTTTTGGCACATGGATGCATTGCTCTGATACCTGCCTTCATCTTCACATGTCGTTCTCCCTAACTGCTTGTTTGAGTCCACATTTCTCCTTTTTATAAGGACACTACAGTCATAATGGATATGAAACTACTCTACTGACCTTATTATAACCTGATTATCTCTAAAGTTCCTGTGTTAAAATAAAGTCACATACTGGGTGGGTTAGAATTCCAACTAATCTTTTTTTTTTTTTTGGTCAGGGGAGAAGGGACACAACTGAATCCATAACAATAGTCAGATATCTTCTTAAGTGAGAAATCACCCCCGAGAGGGTATGGCCACACTGCAATCCCTTCTCCTCCATTCTCCAATTGGGAATTTGGGCACACACACACCCAGTGTGAGTTTCAAGCCACCAGGTCAGGTCCAAGATTGCAATCAGCCATAAGGGAGTCCAGTGCCTGAACCACTACAATGCCTGCTGGCCTCTAAATACCTTTTTTAGAGTATAAATACCAAGAGAAAATCTTGTATATTTACATGTAGTTATAATTTCCACTACTCTCTAATTTCTTTCTGTAAATCTCTATTTTTACCTGGCTAAAACTATTTCTTTACCCTATCCCCTTCCTTTCTTTCTTTCCCCCCCTTCTCTCTCCTTTTCTTCCCTTCCCTTATATTTCTATTTATGAGAGAGCACACCCGACAAGATCTCATCATGTCACGAACTCCTTTCTCTAGTCCTCAAGCTCCTAATGATCTTGGATACCCTATGTGTGCCTAGAACGTTTTCAAACCAACCTGGGGATCTGAACCTATGGATAACCATGTGGCTTCCTGTACTATAGTCTAGTAACCACGTACTAAGCCAATGCTTTTTCTTCCCTTCCCTCAGGTTTTTGTCATAGGGTTAGTGAACTTACTGGAGAGAGAGAGAGAGAGAGAGAGAGAGAGGAAGTGAGAAAAAAAGTGAGAAATCAGCCCCTTAGGGAGGATGGCTACAGTCAGCATGTGGAGTCCCATGGATGCCACCTATGCCACCTGCTAGCCCTGCCAGCAATTCTTTATTGACATTTTCGTACAACTTTTCTAATGTTAAATTTTTAAATTTTAATTGGCATGTAATAACTGTACATATATATGGAATACAGTGTAATTTTTTTCAGTCCATGCATATAATATGTAATGATAAAATCAGGATAATTAGCATATCCATTATCTCAAATGTTTATCACTACTTTACACTGGAATCATTAAAAAATCCTCTTTTAGGGAACCAGCAGTTAGCATAATGGCTATGTCACTGGACTCCCACGTAGTCGACTGCGGTTCGTATCCCGGACCCGGTGGCTTAAAACTCACGCCGGGTGCGTGTGCGTGCGTGCCCAGGATCCCAAGAGGAGAATGGAGGAGAAGGGATTGCGGCATGGCCATCCCCCCTGGGGGGTGATTTCTCGCTTTCTGTCTCTCTGTCGCTCTGTCTGTCTGGCAAGCGCATGCGCCCTATAGCTAAAACCTCTCCACAAAAAACAAAAACAAAAACAAAAACAAAACAACCTCTTTTAGCTATTTTGGATATATAATAAATTATTAACTTGAATTCTTTCAGTTTTGTACATCTACTATCTTCAGTATACCTTCACTTTGACAGATATTTTGTTGTATATAAAATTCTAGGTGAAAAAAAAATTTTTTTAAGTTCAATACTTTAACATGCCTTAAAATTTCTGGTTGCTTTTCAAATTTTGTCACTGGTTTTAGACGTTTGATTAGAACGTTCCTTGTGTAATTTTCTCCATGTTCCTTGTGTTTGGGGTTTGTGAGTTTATAGCTTTCATCAGAAGGAGAAAAATTTTGGCCATTACTTTTTGAAATATCCCCCTTTTGGGGACTTCAATTATGCTTATATTTGGCTGCTTAAATAGTCTTATGGATATTCTTGTGTTTTAACATTTTTCTTTTCTGTTTCATTTTGGATAGTTTCTATTGTCTTGTCTTTAATTTAGCTTTTCTTCTGCAACATCTCACATAGATTAATTTCATCTGTTATATGTTTCATATCACACATTGCAGGATACATTTCTGTATATCAGATTTATGTATTTTAAAATATCTTCCATGTATCTACTTAACTTTTTGTATATACAGTTATAATATTCTATTTTCTTTTTTAATGATAAATTAACACTTTATTGAAACATTAACACATATGAAAGTATACATATAATTGTCTGGCTCAACGAATTTTCTCAAATTGTGTAATATTCCAATTTTAATGTCCATTTATCCTAATTTCAGTATTTTGTCAGTTTTAGGTTGTTTTTTTGTCAGCTTATTTTTTTTTTCCTCACTGTGGGTCCTATTCACCTGTTTCTTTGCATGGTTGATAAGTTCTTGGTTTTTTTGATGACAAGTTTTATAGGACGTTGTAATGGTGCCTTTACTTTGGTGAGTACTAGAAGGCTATGAATCAACATAAATATTTTTGAGCTCTGCACTGGTATGTAGTTAAGATGCCTGGAGACGGTCTGATCTTTTTTACTTCTTGATTTTAATGTTTAATGGGTGGGACTGGTGCAGTGTTCTGTCTAATGTTAATTATACTCCACTACTGAGGCAAGATCCTTCTGTGTACTCTACCCAAAGTCTTGTGAAATCTTGAATTTTCCACTGTGATTGGTGGGAACAGGTACTATTTCAAGCCTGTGTGAATGCTGGGCACTCTTAACTCCTAATCCTTTCAGGTAGCACTTAATCTAATCTTATGTCATTTTCTCACAAATATGTTATCAGTATGCAGATGAGTACTCCAAGAGGACCCTTTGCAGGTCTCTGAAATTTTTCCTCTGCTCAGCTTTCTCATTTTTGGTACTTTGTCCCATGAACACTATCTGCCTTGGTGTTAAAAGACTCTTCAGCTCCATCTCTACAAATCAGGAAATTAGCTGGGCTTTGTTTGGATTCCCCCTTTCTGTGCTATGTCCTAGAAACTCTCTTAAATCAATATGCTAATGTAACTGTAGGGCTCACCTTGTTTTCAGTCTCTCAGGGGACACTGTCCTTCATTACCTGATATTCAATGTCTTCTCTATTACTTCACATAGTTTGTCCACTTTTTGTTGCTTTAGGGACAGAAGTCTCTGGGTCTCTGTTATTCCATCTTGACTGGAAGAATAAGTCTCTCTTACTTTGTATTAGAATTAGTTACAGAGTTCCAGAACTGTTAGTGTCTGATTCTATACTACTGAATTCATACACAGCAGTTCTTTTGCCTTCCTAATGACTATATAGATGAAAGTTTATAACCCTACCTGTAAACAAATTTTATACTTTAAGAATAATATTTAAGCCTTAGTTTCAGAACAAATGGTCATATTTTCAAAGCCCTGAAGGACATCTCTAATGTGTGTCTTGAAGAAGGGCTGAGAATCCATACATTATACATAGTTCCTGATGACATAGAAAGTCTTTGCAATGAAAAGCTAAGAACAGTTATCTTATCAGAGATAACGTGAGTGTCAATATAGACGCCCCTATTAAAATGATACATAGTCATATAAAATTTGGCTCTTCATACAAGAACTTTCAATAATAACCCCAAGTGTTTCTTTAGCACTCACTATAAAACAGGTACTAAGGTAGGTGGTATTTACAGAAAACATGAAACATTTTCTCAAGGAAACATTCCAACATCCTATGAAACATGGCCCATTATTAATATTGTACAGATGAGAACACTGAGACTGAGAGCAGAAAATGATGATAGAGAGATTCAAAAATAGGTTGAAAGTAACATTCTACTCTTTTGTTTTAAAAGTACTTAATGTGCTAGGCTCTTTTCTAAATGCAAGAATATAGCAATGGAGGAAAAATATCCTACCCCAAGGAGTTTATTTTCTTTATAACACTAAAAATACAATTTTTATTTATTTATTTTTATGACAGAGGGTCCATGTACTGGGGGCTGGTGGAGGTCCCATCTAATGGGCCCAGTCATGCCCCAATCCTTGCTTCTTTACTTCCACATCCCACCAGGATCTTGGACATGTGTGCATACACACTCATCATGCATGTTGCTGGCAAAAACGCAGTCAGCCATGTGGGATTCAGCTCCTCTGCATAGCATTCAACTACTGTGGTAAGGGGCCAGTCAATGATTTGTGAATTTTAATTTATGTCTGATGTGATATCAAAAGGAAAATGGCAAACATTATAATTTGTTATACAGGAAAATTTTAGCCTGCCTTGGAGTCACCCACCTTCAAATAATACCCTTAACACAAATTTGAGGCATCATATGGATAAAAGAAAACTAACAGATAAGGGGGTTCTCTTGCTTTACTGAACTCATACCCTCACAAAAATTGACTACAGTGTTCTCTAAGGTAAGGATAGTATCTGTCATTTATTGAGGGCTTAGAATGTGTCAGGCCAGGTGTGTGCTGACTGCTTATTCTTATAACCCTCTTAAAAAAGTTGAGAAAACAGTTTATGTGAAGATAAGTAGCTTCATTTACTCTAGTTAATAAATTCTGGTTGACTCCAATCCAATGTCCTTATCTCCTTCCACCGTTACATTAAAAGCTGTACAAGATAGTACATTTCAGAAAGAGATGCCCTAAAAAAAAAATAAATAAACCAAATCAAATAAAATGCAAAGCCCAAACACTACAGCTGTCCAGAAATACTGCAATCTACAAATGCTTCTGATTTCACTATAGTGCAGTTCCAGATTATGCCTACTTAGATGGTAAACAAGAAATGAAAGACATAAAGACAAATATGGTACTGGCCATATTAATAATGGTTAAATAAATGCTCGAAAACTTGTACAATATATTTAGTTTTGAACATAAATAACCTCTTATCAAATATCACATCTGTTTTATCTGTATTCACCAGTAATAGAAATTATCTGTTACTTTAGGAATGTAAAAACAGAACTTTTCCTTTGTAAAATATTCAAATTTAGAAATAAAACAAAACTTGGCACACCTCTACAGCAGGTACAATGTCTATGCCGACTGTTAGAAATTCTTCAAACTTCAGAAATGGGTTAAAGCAGCTGCCAACATCAAGTAATCTGATCTTTCCTGAGGCTTGTAGCAACCTGGAAACAGATATTTATATTATAAAAGGCAAACGGGAAATAAAGTATAAGAAAAACCCAAATATTTGAGAATAAAAAAGATCACGTAGACAACTGGTTCTTTTAAAGTTTTTGATCTGAGGATCCCTTTCCACATTTAAAAATTACTGAAGTCCCCAAAAGCTTTCATTTATATAGGCTATATCTATCAATAATTACCATATTTGAAGTTAAAATGACAAAATAAAAAATATTAATTTACAAAACAAATGCATATGTTAATATAAATGATACATTTTAAATGAAAAATACTAGATTTTTAAAAAAATAGTAGAAAGGAAGACCTTATTTTAGATTATTTTCTAGTCTCTTTCCTCTCTGACTTAATAGAAAACCAATGGAAAACTTGATAGAAAACTCATATCTGTGTTCATATTCAAGCTGCTGCAACACCACATGCTTGGTCATCTCTAGAAAACTTTATATTCATGACAGTATGGGATTAAAAAAGGCAAATGATATATTACAGTTATGAAAATAATTTTTTTCTGGTAGAGACCCTGAAAAGGTCTCACTCAGATCCTCAGATATCCTGAAACTGCTTTTGTGATTGAAAGAATCTATCCATAAATCACTTCTCAGTAGTCAGTATAACAACGTTGGTCTTTGGACTTAATTTTGTCTTAATGATTTAAAAGAATTGAATACAATAGTATTTAAGTTATGAAAAACTTCTGTGTTCAAGAGCCTTTCCTCATGTCTAAATAGCAGAAAAAATAAGTAGCAAATTTAGTGAAAATGAAAATATGGCTCTATGTAGCAGCAAATAAAGATGGAGGAAAACAGTCAGTTTTGGTTGGTACTAACTGTAGTCTAAAAAAACATTAGAAACATACCAATTACACCAAAGTGGGCCTAGTTATTCTGTCTACAAAACAACTCAGTAATTCTATGACATCCAGATGACCATCAGTTTTTGCAAGCAACAAGTAGGAACTCTCCCTGTGAAAAGAGCTGGTCTTAGGGCTCAAGGGGTAATTTTCTGTATGGCAGCCAATCAGGAAGCAGATTACTATATAATTTGTATGATGTCTATAACAAATAATCATTTGTAAATCTGAGCTTAGTGGTTCTTCAAATACTATAATACACTAATTCTAAGAAAGAAAGTAGCTAGCAAATATCTATAGAATAGGTTGCTAATAGAATAAAAGATCTAGTTGATAAGTATCAGAAATGCCTGGCACGTAGCTGGCATTGCTGCTGAATTAGTAAAAATTTAAATACTGAGATCCTAACTAGTTAGAACAAATGAGAAACCGTTATCATATGCAAACTATGTGTGTGGGTATATATGTGTGTGTATAATAATCTTACATATATGTATATATACATGTACAATGTATGCGTACATGCACACGTGTGTGAGTGCACAAACACACACACACACACACTATTAAATCATTCATCTTTACTTGGGGCTTTGGTGTTTAAGAATAAGAACGAAACTTGATCCTGTCCCTTAATGTGTAATATGTGGATAATAATGGTATCTAAGAGAGTTTTTTCAGGATTTAATGAGATATTACATTCGGTGCTCAATGACTGGTATATGGTAAGTTAATCCTCAAAAAGTGGTAGATACTGTATCCCACTGTTATGCTAAAGATGAAATCTTCTGTGCTTTGTGCACTATGATCTTCCTAAGCGTGGTAAAAGATAATTCTGTTTCACACTAAATTATATATCACAGATTCCAGTAAAATGGGTAGCAAGAAATATCTGACAGTCTTAAAATATACTTCATATAAATTGAATTTTCTATTTAGATTGAGTATTCTAAATCATTCAGTTAATTCAACTTTGATATAATCACCAGTAACTTAATATCATGGATTAGTTTACTAATTTATAATTCTCAGCAATGTATTTAGTCCATTCAAATTCCTCAGTTTTTACTTGCATAAAACATGGATATACAGTTTAAAGAATAGTCACACAGTAAACATCCATGTAATTACCACCCAGGTCAAGAAATAAAACATTGCCTGCACTGTGGAAGCATGACATCTGGTACTCGTTTCTGTAATGGTAGCCACTATACTGCTTTCAGTGATAATCATTCACTTGATTTCCTTTATAGTCTTAACTAACTATGATTGGATATTTAAATATTATAATTTTTTATACTATACATTTGTTTTTGTGCCTTGCTTCTTTCAATTAATATGTTTGCAGAATGTTGGCTATGTTTCTATAATTCACTTTCATTGCTGTATAGAATACTTGCACCAGAACTAGCACTAAGCTTAAAGATGACTTGGGGAAAATTAACATCTTTATAGCGCTGAATGTTTAAATCCACAGACTTGGGATAGTTATTCATTTATTTATGATTTATAGTTTTTTTTTTTTGAGAGAGAGATTTTTGCTATAGGGCACATGTGCTTGCTAGAGACACAGAGACAGAGAGACTGAAAGTAAGAAATCGACTCCCCAGTGGGGATGGCCGCGACGCAATCCCTTCTCTTCCAATCTCCTCCTGGGATTTTGGGCATGCATGCGCAAGCACCGGGCATGAATTTTTAAGCCGCCAGGTCTGACCTTGAACCCTGGTTGATTATGGCGTAACCATTATGCAGTCTGCTGGTCCCCTTATCATTTTGTTTAAGAGAGTCTCACATATCTTTCAGTGGATTTATATTCCTCAGTATCTCTTAATTGTTTTTCTCCTCAAGTTTCTGTCTTTTATGAGAGAGAAGACAAACACTGACTCTAACCCTAATTTAAACCTAACCCAACCCTTACATGGGATTTCTTTAATTATTATTAATTTTTAAATTTTAATTATTTTAGGACCAGCAGTTAGCATAATGGCTATGTCACTGGACTCCTACGTAGTCGACCGCAGTTCGAGTCCCGGACCCGGTGGCTTAAACTCACGTCGGGTGCATGTGCCCAAGATCCTGAGAGGAGAATGGAGGAGAAGGGATTGTGGCGTGGCAATTCCCTCTGGGGGGTGATTTCTCGCTATCTATCTCTGTCTGTCAGGCGAGCACACACGCCCTATAGCAAAAACCTCTCAAAAAAAAAAAAAAAACAAATAAATTTTAATTATTTTAATTTTGGCTTTTAAAATGGCTAGATTTTAAAGTTTCTATTCCTTACAGAATTTTTTTTTTCTTTAAAATAGTTTATTTTAGGGCTGGCAGATGAGGTGGTCGTTAAGGTGCTCGACTCCCATGTGGCTAACCACAGTTTGAGTCTCAGACCTGGAAGCTTACTTTCACACTTTCTCTCTCTGGTCAAATTAAAAAGTAACAATAATAAATAAACTTAAATTAAAAAATTCTTTAAAATAGTTTACTTTATAAACTATGACTCAATTTTAATATCTGAAGCTGTTATCAGTCTGTTTTTACTGTCCTGCTTACAAGGTCACGGTGACTTGTTCCCATACATATTTAGTACTTATTATTCTATGTTTATTTTTCTTCAAAAATTATTTATGAAGATTCTTTGTTTCTACTAGGCAACCTGAAATAGCAACAGAGGAGGACCACTTTCAACTAAATAAATTCAGGATTTCAAGTGTTTTAGACCACGCTGGTGATGTAAATTTGGATTATAAACTTGTGCTTGGGATGTCTTGTGGTTTCAATTTGTCCCCTCTGGGTGAATGGGACAGATTTACTTTTGGTTCAGCAAACTGAGAAAATAGTTTCTTTGGATATTCAACTCTATCAGCAGAATTTAGAAACCAAAGTAAGTTTGCCAATTTGGACAAATGTTCTCAGGACAAAAGCAGCTTTGTGTTCTGCTTACCTTTCTGGCTTCCTGACATCACATGAATTTTTGCCTTATTTTATCCAGCATTTAAAAAAAGTTGTTGCTTTCAGTTTGAGGGACTTATTAGCATATTCAGCTAGCCTTATTGTAGTTTAACTTTTAAAGTAAAATATATAAACAGATACAATTAACTCAGTCTAAATGGTCAACATAAAATCAGTCTGTGACAATATAGCTAGTTCTTACTTACAAAAGAATATTCAACTAAATACTAGTAGTAGTGTTTTGGGTGCCAGCAGGTGGCATGGTGATTCAGGAGGCTGAATACCACACAGTCTACTGTACTGTGTGGTTCAGTCCTCGAACCTGGCAGCTTGAGGGACATGCCCAGTGTGGTGTGGTCATACCCTCTAAGGAGGTAGTTCATGTTCCCCCTCTCTGTCTCTGTCAAGCACATGCACCCCATAGCAAAAACTAAAAAACGAAAAAAATGAGACCAGCAGATGGTGTAGAAGTTACGTTGCTGGACTCCCACATGGCTGACTGCAGTTCAAGTTCTGGACCCAGTGGCTTGAAACGCAGGCCAGGCATGTGTATATGTGTGTGTGTGTGTGTGTGTGCCCAAGGTTTTGTGGGGGAGAATGAAGGAGAAGGGATTGCAATGTAACCATCCCCACTGACAGATGATTTCTTACTTTCGCTCTCTCTCACCCACAAGAACATGCACCCTAAGGCAAGTAACAAAACAAAACAAAACAGCTCTAGAAAAATAATTTAAAAAGGGGTTAGTTTTGTTATTTTTCATTTACTTGAAAGTACTATATTATGAGAATAGATTTGGAGTGTGAAGGGCAAAAATTACACTCTTAAATAATTGGTTAACTGACTGATGTTTCTTCATCACTAAAGGCTATAGAGTCAATCTTAAATAATAGACTTTTTACTTCCACACATTATTATGTGTAATATAGGGACCAGTAGATGGTGAAATGGTTACATCCCTGGACTATCATGTAGTCAACTGAGGTTTGAATTCCTAGACCTGGTAGCTTAGAACTCATGCTGGGTACATGGGCATGCGTGTCCAAGATCCAGAGACAAGAATGGAGGAGAAGGGACCGTAGGGTGACCATCCCCTTTGGGGGGGTTGGTGGCGGTCGTGGTGTGATCCTTCCTGTGTCTCTGTCTCTCTGTATGTACCCTACAGCAAAAATCTCTTTCAAAAAGGAAAA